TTGAGCTAATAATTAATTATAAAAATTTTAATTTAGATAAAGATATATATATGCTATTTTTTTGTAAAATATTATATTGTAATTATTTTCTTTTTGCTATAGGATTGTTAAATTTTATTAATATTATATATTTTACTTATTTAAATTTAAATACTACATAACTAAAAACTAATTTAAGTTAATAAAATATATATTAACTTTTCATCCTACATACCATATATCCACATATGCAGTACATATATATAAACATATATAATATAAGTTTCAAATATCAATGTCTCTAACTATGAGGTGGGAAGTGATCAAGTCTAAATCCTTCAAAAAAAGGATCAGCAATCTGAGGTGGTGCAGAAGAAGGATAACCAGTCTGGGGTTGTGTAGCATTCATAGAGTATTGTTGGCTAAGTAAGCGCATGTGCTCTTGAAATCTCCTCTCAAAGTTGGCCTCCATCTTCGATACTCTCTGTGATACCTCTGTATGAATACGTGTGGCCACCTCTGTCTGAACTCGCTCAACCATTTCTTCCCGAACTTGAGTAAGCTCAAACTGCAACTGCTAAACCTGTGTCGTAAGAATCCTGGAGGTAGAAGAGGAGGTGTCACTCATGTCATACCGTCACCAAGGGATGCCATGCTCTGCTGGATCCTATAATGTAGACATCCTTCTCATCTGACCCTTTTTAGGAGGTCCAACCACCTCCTTCCAGATAAGTGGATCCCATTCTGGCCATGAATCCTTGTTTGACCCATGCTTCTCCACATATTTTTAGTGAGCATCGTTCTGTTTCAAAAATAAAATTTTCATTAGTAATTTCAAATGATAATGGAAAATCAAATGAAAAATAATTATTTACTGAATACAATCGATAAAAAATCGTATCACTTTTCTTCTTTTATGGCAATATGACATTAAAAATAAATAAAATTAATATCATAAAAGAATCAGATTCGATTCTTACATATGTCTGCTCAGCCTATGGACATATCCAAGCGGGTGGGGCATCTTCTGGAGCATCAAGTCAGCGAGTCATGTGAGTCAACAAGTACGACTCTAAAGGTGTCGGCATAACTCCTCCTCTTTTAGCTGCCTATTAAAACATCAATAAAATCAATAACATTTCCATTTTTATGGTAAAAAAAAAAATTATATATGTATATATATAAGTATATCTTACTAACCAGTCGATCCTCATGGATCCCAATAGAAAGGCATCCAGTTGTGTGGGTCACATAGTTACCCTTTGATCGGTTTTGCCGACCTCTTTCCTGGAGTGCAATATATTTTGGACTCCTGCATTTTGCCAACAAAATTTTAAAAGTATCCTTATGCATGAA